CAGATCTACTTGTATGTATCCTTTTCACTCGACTTATAAAGCATGTCTGTGTACTATGATTTAAGACGGGATGCAACAAACTCAAAAAAAAAAAAATTAAAAAGTGGAAGTGTAATTATTTTTATCTATTATTGCCAGGCATTCAACTATGATTTCACAAAAACAGGTTAATATTCAGACTAGTATTGATTTCACTCAGAAGCCACAAAGAGAATAGCACCTGTGCAGAGCATAAAGGAACTCCCCTGGCTTTAAGGTAATCATGTATTTTCAGAAGTTGTTTTGGCCCATAATTGCTCACACCAACTGCCCGAACTAAACCCTGCATTCCAAGATTTCCATAATGTAGTCACAAATCTTTGTAATGAACTAAAACAAAACTAAGGACATTGTGCTATTAATTATCCAGGTATCATGTCAATTTGTATAAAAGCCAAATGATAACAATCATCATGAGCATGGAACCAAGTAATGGCTGCGATTATTGAATAAATGCCTACAAGATTACACCTTCTCATGCATTGCAACCAAACCATCCCAAAGAGCTCGCTCTTGAAGAGGAGCATAATTGGCAGTTGACCAGTGCAGCTGTCCAATTCCTATTTGTTCAATTTGCATCCGATGCAGAGAAGACCTTGGAAAAAATTGTGCATGATCATTTATCCAATCAAGAAAACTAGAAAAAACTGACATTAGGCTCTCAAAGATATCCTGTCCTGGCTCCTTGTGGAATCTCATTTACTTGGAATGGATTATTATCTCAATGTCCCTCACTTTTAATTGGAAGAGAGCTCAGATCTTGTTTCACTTAGAACTCAAAAAACACTAAACATCAATTAAAATAAAGAATTAGTAGCACACTTGCAAGCGTTGACAAATTGTCCAGGTGTTAGACGCCATGGATATGCAGCAAACTTTGTTGCAATGACAATATCATCTTGGAATGCCTTTCTTCCTGACCAAAAAAAAAAAGGCTGGTCTATTAGCGGTCTTGACAAAAACCAGACTTGTAAAAGACCAAAAGATATTAGTCTCTATAAGCTTTAGTAGAAAGAAAAAAAACTGAGATGCAGAAGTGAAAGGCAAAGCGGACAGGACTTCATCCATTGCCAATGACACTTAAGACAGCATCATACACTCCGACAAGAAACACGCCAAAACAAACAGCAAAAGACATATGGAGAACCAGTTGATTCCTAACGCATTCCTTTACTGACTAGCAAACTTAAGTACTAAAATTCCTTTTTAAAAAAAAAATAGTATATCAGTAACTTTTTGCAAGCATTGCAAAAAGGCAATTAGGTAAGATAAGAGCTCAAATACCCTGCTACGTATGTCATAAATGGTCACTGAACATCCATAAATGGAGGTTAGGCCATAGGTGACAAGATAAAAATAGCAGTGGTAGACTATTGCAATCCCAAACCAAGAAATCAATCATCCATCCACCAAACTTCTGACGGAATCAGTTTCCTCAAGAATATTACCACAAAAAAAAAGTAATAGCAGTGGCAGCAGCAGTAGCAGATGATAATATCACCAAAAAAGGTGAAACAAAAGAAGCGGACCTTGAAACTCGCGGATGAATTTGCCAAGAAGTCTCTCGCTTTGTCCATTCAACTTCCCAGTTCCATAAGAATCAGCAGTATCAAAGAAATTAATCCCATTCTCCAGGGCAAGATTGAAAGTGTCCTGAAGCTGAGAGTCCATTGATTCCTGATAACCCCACAGAAGCTGGTTCCCCCATGCCCAAGTCCCAAACCCCATGGGTGACACTGTCAGAGGACCAATCTTTACCTGCCAATATTCCCAAGAAATGAAAATCCCGATCTATCAAATACTACTGGTACACAGCATATTAGTTTATTTACTTCATAATGTATGTACTGGCAGTGTATAACACAATTTCACTTGGTACCTATCTGTTCCTTGATGGGATTCATCAATTAAAGACTTACTAGCTAGTACTTAAATAATACCTTTTGCCAAGGCCAGAAACGAGGGAATTTGAGGGTCTTCAGGGAATTTAAGAGTGATGATGGGATAATGGAGTCTGCTGTTGAAGCTTTAGCTCCGCTGCATTTAACATACCACGTGGGTGGTGCTGAGATTGATATTGATGCGGGCATCCAGACTGAGAGAGCCATTGCTCTCACCTCCCTATATTGTTGAAGCTTTAGCTCCGCTTTGCTGACTGTTTTCTGTGGAGGACAGACAACGCGTATATACATGTGTGCGGTAAAAATTAAAAAAATGAACGCTGAAAACCATTTGAAGTTTATTTTGATACACAGAATTGAACCAGATACATACAGTAGTACTCTTTAATTCAGTGGCATTCGATTATGAAATCACGAAGCGAAAGCGGGAAGGAGCGGCTCTATCTAAAATTAGCAAAACAAATCCATAACTGGCAACAAAAATTTCAGCCATTTATTCAATTCGAAGGCTAAATGGGGGAAAGAAAAGAACAGTAGCAAGTAGCAACCGCTGTTGAAGAATGAGTAAAAAGAATGTTTGTTCTAGGGATAATTCCAAAAACCTCCCTTGAGGTTTTTCACAATTTCATTTAGCTCCTGGAGGTTTTTAAAATTACACATGCCTCCCTTATCATTTAAAATGACAACACTACTCTAAAATATTTTAATGAAATTCCCTCGTTTAATATCTATTATGACTTTTAAAATTATTTTTTCATTTTTTCCTTCGTATTCCTTTTTAGTTTAATTTTTTGCTAATAAAACTGTAAAACTACCACTATTACCTTTAGTTTCTACTATAACCAAATGTCGAACTAGTGATTTTTTTTATGAGTTAACTTTATTTGTAATCAAATATTTTTTGCTAATATTTTTTGCTATTTTTTGGTATTAAAATTAACAATAAATCAAAAAGAAATGGCCCAAAACCATTACTAAATTATGATAATCTCACTACTCAAAAAATTCATAAACTCTAAATTAATTATTTCAACATTTTCTTTTCTACCTTATAAATCTAAATCCATAATAAAATACCATCAAAAGTATTCTATCATAGTGATAAATTTATTATTATAGTTGTTTATCAAATAGTATGTATGGGCATAAAAATTTTGGCACATTTTTCCTTATAATGACACTACATAATCTTATATTTGTATAGAGAAATAAATTAAAACTCATTACACAAGGGCATTTTTTATATTTATTTAAAAATATGACCAAGTCAATATTATTTTAAGATCTTATTATTTGTATAGAGGTAAATGTAATTTTTCAAATCTCATGAGAGCTCAGTGAAATTGTTAGAGAGATTTTTGAAATTAACACATTTGTTCTATGGAATAATTTCAAAAACCTCCCTTAAATTTTTTGACATTTTCACCCCAGTTTTAAAAATGTTTTTGACAATTTCACACATGTTTAAAAATTATATATACCTATCTTGAATTTATCATTTTGGTAACAATAATCATTCAATGTTCAAAATTTTTGAATAAATAACCCAAAATGCCCTCGTGAAATTGTGAAGTACATTTTATCTTTTTATAAAATTCTTTAAAAAATATATAGAACATGCATAAAATCTAAAGTCTACTTTCAACCATCATCTTTACTATGTTAAATCTTTCATATTCCAATATTTCAAATTAGTACAATTATCACCATGATCATCACACCATCAATCCCTAATTTCTGAAATCTTAATCTAAATTAAAAAAGCAACAATTAGTATTATTTAAACTTAAAAAATTTCACCAACTGCATTAGTATAACATCTCATCCCCTAAATGTTGGAGTAAAAACACAAGTCCCATCAATTTTAAACCACCTTACATTTTCTTCTATTCATTTTCAAATCCTCCAATCAAAACTAAAATTAATTTGTAATACATTAAAATTATGTTTAGGACATAATTGGTTATTTCACGTAGGGTTGCAAACGAACCGAGCGGCTCGAGTCAAGCTCGACTCGAGCTCGATCAATATCAAGCTCGAGCTCGAGCTGGCTCAAGTCGAAATCGAGTTCGAACTTGAGTTCAAGATATTAAGCTCGTTAGTTCGCGAGCTCGAGTATATATATATATATATTTATTTTAAGTATATATATATATTTTTAAATTTTAAGTATATATATTCTTTATTTTAATAATAAAATTACATATATATCCTTAATATTTTATTATTTATTAAAAAAATATTATTTTATTTATTTTTTAAAAAATAAAAATAATTATTTTTTATTTTTTTTTTTCAAGTTCGAGTTCACTAAAATTATTCAAAGTTCGGCTCGATTAGGTCAAAACTTGAGCTAAAATTATTCAAAGTTCGGCTCGATTAGGTCAAAACTTGAGCTGGGCTCGTTTGCCGCCCTAATTTCACGGGTGAAATCTTATTTTTGTTTTCATTGAATGTTATTAAAAACGTCAAGATTACTAGGTAAAACAACCAAGAAGTTTATGACGGCTGTGGGATTTGAACCCACGCCCTTCCGGACCAGAGCCTAAATCTGGCGCCTTAGACCACTCGGCCAAACCGTCGTGATTGGTGTTAATGTAGTACAGCTTCCTCTTTTTTGAATTTGAACATCTTCTTGAATCAGTCCTAGTCACATACATGTCCAGTTCTTTTTCTCCTATTCTGAGTTGAATATGTTGATGATGGCATAAATAGTGATCTTCTTTGTTTTGTTTTGAGGTCTGCTTTCAGCAGGTCATTAAAAGTTGATTTTTTTTTTTAATTTTAATTTTTGGGGAATCCGTAATCCTCATCATAGTGTAGTAATTCGATTTTTCCAGTTGTCATGATCCGCGCATGTCTCCCTATTCCTCCTTTTCACTGACCGGTCGTACAATTCTTTCTCTGTTTTCATAAAAATTTTGTCCTCCTCCTTTTTCTCGCTTTTATTAAACCGGGGATGATCGAAGCTTTCGACTGAAAAGGAAGATGGATAGACTGGTTTGGTTGTTGGGAGCTATCGTTTAGCGGTATCCTGGCATTATATTCGGTCAGCAACAGTTACTAAATGCCTAGTAGTAGTTCTCTGATAAATCATGTCAAAATTACAGAGGGGAAGAAAAACAAAACAAAAAAGGAAAGGGAGATTCAATTTGGGTTTCCCTTATTCTGCATATGTACTGCTGGCTTGTTCTACACATGTACTGTTGAGCGTCGATCATTCATTCACATTGTTTTAAAGATTCAAGAAAACCTCGAGGAGGGGAGAAGATGGTAGAAATGGGTTTGGGTATCCGGGCTCATACTGATCTCGATAAACCGAATTGTCTCCAAGCCATTCCAGTACACTTTTTCTCCTTCCGGCTGTCTCTTTCTCATGGAATTCTACCAAACCAACTTTGAGGATGGATAGCGAGATACTGATCAGGCTAAGCCCCGAAAATTCTTTTCCATGGCAAGTGCCAGATACCTTAGGCTTTTAAAGTTCTGGAGGCATATGCACCGGATTTTCTGGTATCTCCATTCTGTCTTCTTTCATTATTAGCAAAGGCCATCTGAGAAATCCCACCAACTTGAAGGGCAACATGATTCATCCAAGAGCCCATCTGAGACAAGATTGCACCATGGCTTTCGTGATGCAGATGTACTCTCTCCTTGTTCAGTCAAGATATCAAAATTTGCTTGGTCTTCCTTTCCAAAGTGTTCATTTACGCCTACCCCATCAACATTCACCTTTGTTGTCCTCTCATCATCTTCTCTGCGCTCAGGATGCTCGTCTCTTTTTGGCGGAGCTGTATGCTCTGCATTTTCATTTGAATCCTTGCTACTGCTCTGCCTCTTATTGGAGTTTTCCAGCACACCATTTAGTGTGTGCAACTGTAAGAGAGCAGTTACAAGAAAGTAAAGGAACAAGAAATAGAATAGATAACATTGAAGTAACGACTCTTAAATTAAGGAGAACCGGTTGTAGATACTTAGATACCTGCTCAAGCAGAGACTCATTTTCTTTCTTCAAGGCTTCAAATTGGTGGCATAGAGCATCGAAATTCGCTTTTAGTACTCTATATTCTTGCTCTAGTTTCTTTGATTTCCATCTCGCCCTTTTGTTCTGAAACCAGATTGATACCTGGCGCGGCTGCAGGCCTAGATCTTTTGCCAGCTGCAGCTTGTTCCTTGGTTCAAGCTTTGCCTCCCGATTAAACATGGACTCAAGTGACTTCACTTGTTCATCACTGAACCTCTTAGCATTGTTGCGCCTCTTTCTCTTCGGAACTGGGAAAGGGCTGTGCTTGTTGGAAGGCTTCCAGCGCTCTTGTTCAAAATAGCCTGTTTGTTCCATCGCGTTGTTGATTTCTGAGTCTAAACTCCTTTATTTAACTCCTTTTGTCGGCTTGAGGGGCAATAGACTACCCTCTATGTTCTAGCCTACGCCTACTGCTCTTCCGAAGCTGTTGCAGATGTGGGCTTTTGATATATAATCCTGCATGTAGAAAAGCCGGAATGAGGTGCGTAGGATAGAGGTGTGATGCAATTGACTGAAGTTTTTTTTTTTTTTCGTTCTAGTAGGAGACGGGTGAAATTTAAAAAGCGAAAATGACATCAAAAATTTTTTTTTGAATTCAAACCCTCTAATTTTTAGAATTCCAATCTGCTGATTGCGATTGTTGTATTTCTTCAAGATTTAGGGTGCTCTTATCTACGCCATTGTTTCCATAGATTAAGTTAGTGTACCTTTGTGCTCGAATAAAATTCATATGTGCAACGTTTGTAATTGCAAAATAATCATGTAAGAAATACAACCACAGTAAAACTGCATGAAAACCCCCTAAACATGCTTAACCCGTGTCTTGAGAAACGCCTAGACCTACCGTGGTTGCTTTCAAAGTCATCGGCTTGATGGATGAGTTCATGTATGTGATTTTATCCTTTCACAGTCTCCACATCTCTATATTGGCTTTATAATTTTGCCTTGTTTGGCTATTATTTGTTTCTAATAATTTGGTGGCCATGTTTTGGTGAGATAAGGGGAGAAAGGTTTTTCTGTCCGAATTTGACCGCTCATCTTCATGAATGCGTGGATGTAGCAATTTTGATTTAAACTTGTGCTAGTGTGAGGCTCTTGATTACCAAAGTGCTCGTCAGTTGTTTGTTACTAATCAGGTACAGAATTTTGCGAAAGGGGGGGTTGTTGGTGATTACTTGTACTAATTCGTAGCTCTTGTTTGATGCTTTGCCTTCTTCTTCTTCTTCTTCTTTTTTTCTTGTTTTTTACTTCTGATTTTCATTTTCCTGACAGCAAATTTCTCCCCGGAAATAACTTAGGCGCTAAAAGACAGATGTCTGCTACCCCTTGTATGCCTCATGTTTCTTTCATGCCATCTTTTTCTTTGTATTTTCCTGTTCTCTTGTTTTTAAGTAGAGTTAGCCATCATTTAAAGTAGGCTGTTGTAGTCTTCAGCATAGTCAATAGCGGCAAGAATTTGTCCTGAATGGCTGCGTCTCAAGCTGATAAACTCTTCATCTTATGTGAATGTGAATGTTGCTGACTTATTTAGACTCACAAAGCCAGGCGGAGGTGTAGAGTGCTCTGTTATGCATTTCTGTACAAGTGCCGGAATATTGTACTAGCAGTACTAGGTAATTTTGCTCTGCTTCTCGAGTATTGCTGCTACTATTGCATTGTAATTCATGGTCACCTGAGAGAGAGGGCGATGGTCTTATCAGGAGAAAGACTGTGGAGTGTCGCTGCCTGATAAGGGCCCAAAAAAAAAAAAAAAAAAAAAAGTTGAGGCTGTATATAAATCATGCGTGAGAAGAAGAAAATAGACCCTTGAACAAATCAAATTATTTCAGTTTTGTCTGAAGATTAAACCCTTTTGATTTTGCGTACAGATAGGTGTGTCGTGTTTCACAATCAAACCTTGTCAAACAGAACTTTTCTTCTTGACGTTTAAGTCGGAGGAAGTGCCGTTTGGAATACTGGGCATGTCCTGTCCACGGTAGGCGGTATGGAATTCAAGGGCCTATTGCATTCTTCACAGGTGTCATCACCTCCCTTGGGAGTCCTTTGGAGTTTGTTTAATATCTCCAAGGCAAATATGACCCACCTAATGGTTCAAAGTCATTCCATACAAGGAGGTGGAAGTACCCCAGTGGCTTATCCAAAAGTATGTTACGCATCGACTGAGGGTGAAGGTTAATCTAATCAATCTTAAAGTTTCTCTAAAATAAAGAATGGTTTTGGACCACTCAGACTAGTTTTTTTTTTTTTTTTTTAACTTGGGAACTTGCTGATCTGGTCTTTGGTATTCAAGCATTTTTTTTTTCTCCCAAAACCCATAAAATAAAGAAACACGAGGATCTCCCACCCAAAAAAAAAAAAAAAAATATCACTTATCTCCCCTCCATCATATATATGACATATCCTCAGAGATTCGGTGTGGTGCTGGTTTCTTCTATTCTTTCGTAGCATTTTGTTTTTTTCTGAACCCTTCTCACTAGATCTTTTGTTTGTCCCGTAAGTGAATCCTCATCTTAAACTTGCAAAAAATAATTTTCAAAGCCCTATCAGACTCAACGTCAAAAGGTGCATCTTAGATTTTTGTTCAATTTCTTTTTGCACCCTGCAACGCTGGAGTGAGTGAACTCTCAACTTTCCCTCCCTCCCCTCCCTCGCAAAAGAAAATATCACGGGCGTTGTCAAAAGGTGTCTAATGAAAAATGAGTAGCCGCAAGTTTCTGGAGTTGGTAACATTTATTTATGCTTGGTTGAAGGATGAACAATGACACGTCCACATCAGGGCCCAACTTTGCGAAGAAATTGCGATCTATTCCTCTCTCACTGACTAACACCTTCGTGAAAATGACCCGAGAGAGCCCCAAAAATAGCCAGATGTGGAGGGATGATGATTGCTGAGAGTTTGCATGGACGACCCGCATTGGGCGAAGAATGGGTGGGAAGAGATGCGTATTGGAGCCGTCGGATCTCTGATGATGCATGGGACAGGTGTTCAGAGCGGACTGGTGCCACAAATCAATGCGTCTGGATGATGGAAGATACATAAATTCTGTGTTCGCTTTCACAGGCTAGAGGGGGCAGCCGATGGTGTTTCGTTTCGTGTACAGAATTGTTAGCTAGTTTTTTGTGGGTGGGGGGATGGATTTGGAAATTGATGATTCCATCATCGGTCATCATTATGGAGATGATGTACAATAATTAATATGCACCATGGACACTGTATTGGATGAGATTGGTATTTTGCTAATATGTCAAAGGTTGATTGCCACTTGCATCTACAGATACTGGACAAGATGTTTGGAAGTTGTACTAGTGAACTATCTTCTTCGTTTTTTTGGATAAATGTCCGTGTATCTCAACTCTGAAGATCGGTGGGTATTTTGTGCTAGTGAGATGATTGGATTACTATTTTTAGAAATTCTGTGGAAAGATATTCTGTACGTACGCTGTAGTGATTTGATATATATAAAATAAAAATATGATTAAAAAGATGTGTTTAAGAAAAAAATATAAATTCTTGCGGAGTATTACTTGTTGATTAGGGCTTTGCTTCTTCATATATGTATTGGATTAAAATTGCTGCTGGTATCCCTTTGTACTTTATCAAGATTAGAGGCGTTACTACTTACTAGTGTAGTGGCGCCCATTCTCCTGCTCCTCTCCTCGTTGTCTGAATTTAATTTCTTCTAAAAGAATACGAGTATCTTGAAATGTGAAAGGTGATTAGGATTTTTATTTTTGTAAAATATAATCTTTCATAGTTTCTTCGTCTCATTTTGATAGTTTCGATACTTTTTTTTTTTTGCACATGGTTTAAGAAAATTAGCTATCTTTATTGAAAAAGTAAATCTAAGCCACTATTTTTCTAAAATATCTTTACATTAATATTAGTAGTATAATTAATCATTATATTTTTACATTAATTGCAACAACAATACTGATGAAAAGTGACACTATTTAAGGCATGAATCAAAGCAATCGATAAATAGAGTAGGTTATATTCATTGATGACGTTTTACATTAAACAAGGGCATTTTAGAAAAAGTTAAAAATTAACTATATATTCTATTATTAGAAAGTAGACTATAATTTGAGATAACTAGAAAAAAGAAAAATAAGACTATTAAAATGGGACAAAGGGGGTATAATTAAAACTCTCTCTACTCTTCTCGTTGTTGTTATTATTATGATTATTATTTCCTTTCTTTTTCCTCACTTTCCACCATATTTGTGTACTCCATGCCATAAAATGAAAAACTACTTCTTAGTCACTTTTGTGTTTCTTGTTTTTGGGTTGATAAGTACCTTTTACTCTTTTAGAGGTCAATGGTAAACACCTTCCGGACTTTGGAGTTTGTGAGTTCAGATTTGTGTGCTCCGGCTCGGTCCAACCGTGCTGTAATTGCGTCGAAAGTGACTAAGGGAGTTGGACTTTGTTTGAAAGCTGACTGGACTCGGGCTATTCTGATGTCAGTTTAGTACATGTTTGGGCTAGACGAACTTAAGAAGCCCAATTTGCAATGCAGAAATTGCCAATAGCAGCTGTTGTATATTTTTGACTCATGAGCAGGACGTGCAATACCTTAGCAGAGTTGTGGTACGTATTTTTGTAGATGCTGTATTACCCGTAATTTTCTGTAAATTAAGTGTCAAAATATTACCCGTCAATTTTTTTTTATATAAATATACCTAAAGGCACTACGCGTAATGAATCTGGGTATCGTGGACTATGCTAAAGGACCGATTGAAATTTCTCTGGGGCCCATTTAAGGTCAACAGCTGGACTCTGGGCCATTATGCTGGTTCTGAACTAGGCCCATCCCGTTATTGCGCGTGTTTTCAGAGGATCAAATGTAAGAATAGTATACTATTTCTTTCTAGTACAGTCCAAATCCGTGACTGCCTGACTTACCGCTATTATCTGCAGATTACATATTCCTTAAATGATTTTTCTTTAAAAAAAAAAAAAAAAAAAAGTGGAGTGGAACTGTGGAGTTATAACGTTCGCTTTAAGAAAAGGTCAGACCAAACACGGTCGGTTTCTGCGTTAAGTTTGCTATTAGCCACGTGGGCAGAAGTTGCACCCCGTCTACGGAAAGAGTCGAAACAACACCGTGGATGCGTTTCACTTTCCTTGCCCCTCCGGCCTCCGCTACATGACTTTCCGTTGCATTAGAAACAATTTCTCCCCATCACACTTCAATAAAATTTATTTTTAAAAATCAACACAATTTATAATATATTTCACTATTTGTGTTATTTATATATATAATTTTTTATGAAATTAATTAAGTTTTGCCGTTTGATTAATCATTGCAAATTTTATCAACATGATTTTGACCTATTTTTTCACCTTTATTTTTTACGTTCCCTCCTCCGAACCACTTAATCCATTATTCTCTCAACTTTTCATCATTTAAATATTTTTTTTTGTAAATTAAGTGCCAAGATTTTTTAAAAATATCATTTTTCAA